GCGCAAGCTCGGCCTCACATGAAATACTTTTCTCATCTCTAGGCCGGGGCACCCCAGTGCCAGTTCCTTCTACTTGACCGCATCCAGCGCATAACGATTCGAATCGTCGATCACCGAGTTCTTTCTGATCGGCTCGATTCACTGGCGCCGCTCAAAGCTGCAAAGGGATCTTGCATCCCTTTCCGTTTTCTATCGTATCCACCATTGGGTGTGTTCTGAGGAATTGTTCGGATTAGTTCCAGCCGCCGAATTTCACGACCGCACATCGCGTCAAAATTGCCGACACCATCCTCACTATCTGGATGCTTGGCGGTCCACTACTGTGCATTTTACTAGTTTTCTTCCTCGTATAATTCCTCTGTGGAATTGTTTACCACCGGCGACTTTTTCGGGCCGATACGACTTAGGGACATTCAAGAAAAGAGCTTACTCGTTTCTAAAAGGTCGGCAACTCATCTGCAATTCCCCTGATGTTGCGGTTGTTCATGGGCGACAGTAGTCATTTACCATCAGGTGAGCCGCATGCTCGTTTGCCCCCTCTTCTATAAAAAAAATTCGTCAGTTTAATTTTGAGGTCAAGTATGTTTTTTATAAAAAAAGTTAACGTTTTCATTTACTTTCTCAAGATATTGTTAATTTCATCTTTATATGAAGTACTACTTAGATTTTATGTGTTCTCAGTAAAAGACATCATGTGGTAATTTTGTAATTTACTTAGCTCAATTGTGTGTTACAAAATTTTATTTCTACGAAATAATTTTTTTTCTCAAATTAAAATTTTTTCGAAGCTTATATATTTGTTATCTTAAAATTGTCGTTTTATAATGAACCTTTGTGGTGTAATACCTACTGGGGACCTTTTCTACCGTCTGGAAAAAAATAGGGTGTAACATGTGAACGGAGAAGAAGCCTGTGGCACTGATATTTTACAAAAAATAAAAACAAACATTTTGAATTAAATAGATTAGGTAATTAAATAAAATCTATCGAAAAATCATATCCACTCTAATTTACGAACGGCAATAAAACAATAAATTTAGTAGGCATCTTTGACCGTGTCACTTCGCAGGGTTATATGCTCAAAGGCAAAGGCAAAAGTAATTCTTAAAAAAACATTTTTCAAACGTTAATTTCAAAAAAAAATTGTTTTTATATTTGTAAAATATCAGTGCCATAGGGCTTCTACTCCGTTCACATGTTATATCCTATTTTTGTCAGACAGTAAAATGGGTCATTCTGTATAGGTATATAATGTTTCATAGAGATTGCATTTGCCATAGTTGCCACGTTTGGCAGGCAGGTTGGCAACCGCATTTTATATAATTATTAAGAGATATCAGGAAGATGCTGCTGTCCCTCTCCGATCAACAGGAAACTTAACAGTTTCCTGTTGTCTTACGACAGCCACGTGACCCACGAGACGATACGGAGTAGTGGATATTCTTACATCGCCACTACACGCTGAGATTCAGGATTAGTCAGAAATAGACATTGAAGTAATATGCATTTACGTACTAGAACAGCTATCTCAAACAAAAAATGTGCGCTACTCTGTGTTCGCGCGTTTGGTTTTTTTAATCATAGAATAAAGATAGGTAGAATGATCCGTAGGTAATAGTAGATTGTATTGTTAAATACGTAAATTATATCGAGAACAATATTTAAATTTGTCATTTGTTTTATTATTAATTTATAATATTTTTTTATTGATTAAGTACCTTAAACCGGTGAAAAGTAATTCCTTGGTTTTACTGACATTTCTTGAATTATTTGTGCAATACCTAAGTACACAAGATGGCATATTTTTATCAAGAGATTTTTTTTAAATCAACACAACATGTGACAACTCTACAAGCGCCTAGCAAGTGACTGATTAAAGTGCGGTGCATGCACCGCAGTTGAGTGGAACAGAGTAGCTGAATGCAGTGTCTCCTCTACTACGTAGTACATAATAGCTCAATGGAAATAAAATAAAATGCTTAGAATGTTTATAATTTTATTGTACAATTAGCGAAACAACGATCTTATTATCTGTGTTGACAACAAAACGAGTCTCTTTGTAGTACATTGCGTGTTCTATATCGCTTTTCTAGTGTCCGACCGAAGCTTCGGCTATCTTCAACCAAAAAAAAAAACACCTTTGATTTCGGCAAAAAAGTGTCGAAGTTTTAGCCGAACCCGAAGTTTTAGCCGAACCCGAAAGTTTTTACCGTCACCGTTACTGCTGAACATAGGCTCCCCCATAGATTGCCTCGTAGGAGGGATATTAGCTATAATTGTCACACTTGTCAAGCGGGTTGACACTCGCAGTTTTTTTTTTATTTTTAGTCGTGAATAGGAAGACACTCTTGACTTCCCATCTCTTGTTTCGCTCTGTCGCCTCTTACGACATCCACGTTTTTTGCAAGCGCCGACATTGAACGAATTGTTACGAATGCGTGCGATGGACGTTCGACGACGAAAAAATAATGTTACCACTAAGATTTTCTCTTGTATCGTGGAGGCAGTTTACAAACGTAAATTGCACAAGGAGAAACACCCAGACACCAAACAAATTATTTGTGTACTGCCTTGCGGACTTGCGTCGGCCGGCTGAGAGGGGGTGGGCGCTGCGACGGTGAACCGTTTACAAAGACCGTTTTGTGTTCTGCGACAATGAAACCGTTTTATGTCCTGGTTTCAAACAGTCTTCGTTGCACAAACCAATATTCGAATCACTTAGTGCGATTTTTTATTTTACATCTATGAAAATACAGTCGAAAACTCAATGATTCAATTATCTATCTCATTCATCGCGTCATTGTCCTAAACGTTCCGCGTTATATTGTAGTCTTTGGTTCCGCGTTCTTTTACCAACGTTAGTAAAGTGGATCGATAAAACGAATTATTTAGTAAACTATTTCATACATTTTAAATCATTAATAATCGTTGATCGTTTAAGAAACTACAACCATTTCACTCGAAGAAAAAGCCAGAAATCGCCCTTTAGTCGGACATTATTTTTCTATAAGAGATTTCTATGGTGCATAAAACACCTTAGAGTATACATGTCTCGCTTATCGTGACAAATAACCTCTTAGTCGTATCTCCTCAGTTTCAAGGCACTCCCCTTGTTGCCTTAGTCAGTATCAGAATCCACGGCGTCGCCATATCGAATGACGTGCAATTTCGTGGTCACTTGAAAGAAAAGGCCAATTTGGCCTATAAAAAGCTTAGCGTGCTCAGCAGAGTGGTACAGTGTTTCATACCGGCACACCGCCTGCAACTTTACAAGGCGCAGGTTTAGCCTCACATGGAATATTGTTCCCATCTCTGAGCCAGGGCTCCCCAGTGCCAGCTTCCTACATTTGATCGCATCCAGCCCTGAGCAGTTCGAATCGTCACGGACCGAGCTCTTTCTGATCGGCATGACTCACCGGCACTGCGAAAAGATGTTGCATCTCTTTGCGTATTTTATCGACTACGGAGTGTTATCTGAGAAATTGTTTTGACTAATTCTAGCCGCTTAATTTCACAACTTGCGATACCATTCATACTATGTGGATGATTGGCGGTCCACCCCGTGTTCGATTTACAAGAAGTTTTCTTACTTGCACAACTTCCTTGTGGAATCGACTACCGTCAGCGATTTTTCGGACCGATACGACTTAGGGAACTTCAAGAAAAGAGCCTACTCTTTTTTAAAAGGCCAGCGACGCACCTTCGATTCCCCCTGGTGTTGCAGTTGTTCACGGGTAGCGGTCAATACTTACCATCAGGTGAACCGCATGCTACCTTTCTTCCCACCTTTCTTTATAAAATAAAAACCGGCCAAGAGCGTGTCGGGCCACGCTCAGTGTAGGGTTCCGTAGTTTCCCGTCCGTCATAATAAGTATTCCCACTTATGAGTTTAAAGGATAATGGATGGATACTCCATTATGTTCGCGCTCCAGCAGCGCTCCGCGCTCTTGCAACTGCTCCCAGTAGTGGGTACTGTTGTGTCCATCCAAGTTCAAAATGATTTCCCTAGAAAGTCCTTATAAAGTTCTACTTTTCAGATTTTTTTCATATTTTCTAAAGTTATGGTTCAAAAGTTAGAGGGGGGGGGGACACATTGTTTTTTTACTTCTGTAGCGATTATTTCCGAAATTATTGACATTATCAAAAAATGATTTTAGTAAACCCCTATTCATTTTTAAATACCTTTCCAACAATATATCACACGTTAGGGTTGAAATTAAAAAAAAAATCACTTCCCACTTTACATATAGGGCCCCTAATAAAACATTATTTTCCAATTTTTATTTTACCACTTTGTCGGCGTGATTGATACACATATTGGTACCAAATTTCAGCTTTCTAGTGCTAAAGGTCACAGAGATTAAGCGAGGACGGACGGACGGACAGACAGACATGGCGAAACTATAAGGGTTCCTAGTTGACTACGGAACCCTAAAAACCAAAGTAGGTTATAGAATGCGTATTCGCGAGTATTAACTGTAAGCACGGGTGTGAACAGTCTCGAAAATACAAATGGACGCTATTAGTCACGAAGGGACATGCGCGCTGATTGTTTCTTTCACCTGTATTTACTTGAATTTTAAGTTAGCATATTGAATGTGCAGTGACAATGTGTAAAAAGTAAAAACGATTCACGGAAACAAACATAGACGAATAATCTTTTTTTTTTCATGGATAAAGAAATATTTTGATAAGAAAACACCGATTTTAACACAATTAATTAAGGTGTCAAAGGATGTTGCGGTAGCCACGATGACGAGGCGACACAGCACGTGCTCTCGCACCCATTCGCTTTAGGCTTTCCTCGAATTAGAACTAGTGCTGTACCACGTGGAAGGAATATTATTTGTAATAACATAATATCTTTCGTAATAATATTATCATAGTATAACAAATTAAGAAACACAACGCAATGTACTACAAATTAACAATCATTTTGACTTTTGCTGTCAACAAAGTTAGCGAACATTCCTGCAGGTGACCATTAAGCTATCAGCATATCAAGTCAGCCTGGTGCCGTGCGAGACCTTCACGTGTTGTTGCAAGTTAATGCGCGACTTGAACACCTTGCGGCAGTGCGGACAGGCCGCCGAGGCGCTGGCCGGCGGGTGCACATACTTGCAGTGCTGGTGCAGACACAGCCGGCTTTTGAAGCGCTTGCCGCAAATGCTGCACTGGTGTACCTTGTCGCCTACATCAAAGAAAAAAAACAATTAGAATAAAACCAATTTTACGGATTTTATTGTGTTTAATTTTAACTTTATAAGTCCCGACGTTTCGAGCACTTTACACCACCCATGGTCACGGACTGAGGTGTTTGACGTCCCGACGTTAACTATGACAGTTAACGAAAGCTACCTTCAACTTTTAATAGATTATTACACCCATTTCCAAAAAATATTTTAAATGAATCCTAGAGTGATAATGAACCACTATAATAAAAATTTTTAAACCGAGTAGTGCCATAAAAATCACTTTTGATCTATCTATTGTTTTAAATTTTCGCGTGAAAACGCTAGCCGCCATGTTGTTTAACTCGTGACGTCACAGTCGTCGATTCTGCCGATTTCGCAAAGGAATAAGATACTTTTTAATGTTTAATAATGAGTTATGATCTAAATCGTTGTTGTGTTGTGCCTGAATGCAAAAATACGAGCATAAGAATGCCGGGAAAGTTATGGATTCAAGTCAAAAAATTCCTAATTATAAAAAAAAATTAAACTCCGTAAAATCTGTAAAATTAGTTTTATACCAAGCGTAGTCATTTTGTAAAAATAAGAATTCATTACAGAGAAACAAATTTCAAACGATTCTTTACACGAGCCGTAGTATCTCAGGGCTTAGGCACTCGACGTAAATTTCAGAAGAAGCGAGCAACCCTGGTTAGATTTTTCCATCGTACCCATGCTGCAGGTATATTATAGTTGTAGTTGTGCCACGGTCGGCTCGACCGGAACAAAATACCCAGAGTGAAATAGCAACTTGATGCTGCTGTGTTACGTATGGTAACCGGAGACCCTTTTTACTGGAAACGAAGTATTCTATTTTAGTCTTCAGGGATAACAACGCATCTGTACTCGATACTTTATTGGAGGATAGACGTAGGATTAGGTGGACTGCGTGCTCGTTTGTCACCCTAACAGTACGTTTGCACTGAGAAACACCCAACACGTAATGTTTTGAAACAAATCGCATAAAATAAGTCACACAACATGTTTTGTTGACGGCGGCGTTCGCACACACAAAAACTTTGTAAAATTTTCAACAGATATTCAAACTTATCTTTCAACATTACAATATTTATACAAATTTGTTTTCAAACATTAAGTTTCTGTATACAGATATAATAGAGTTAAAATATGTAATGTACAATAAACTGTCAAACATAATTCACTACGTTCTTTTTTTTTTTAGTTCTTTGACTATGCAAACGCTTTTTGAGTGCAAACTCACGGTTATTCTACAAAAAAGGTTCCCTATCGGCTATTATTACAATATTTATTTCGTATCAGGGACTCGATTGGCCCAAAACACCACACGTGAACACGTATATTTTGTTTTGTAAAGGAAATCGATCCAATTAAAAAGTTTCCAAAATGGTAGCCATTTATAATATTTTGACATTTTAGCGGCGGATCAGACCGACTGTTAGCGTAGCAATGCGTCGCCACGCTATACGATAGACATGTGTCACTCATCACTGATTAAAAGAATCCAGTTGTCTGAAAATTATATATATATACGTGTGTGTGTGTGTGTGTGTGTGTGTGTGTATATATACACATCTGTATACTCACATATCTGAGCGTGACGGTCACGCAAGTTCATATCCATCCCAAAAGAGCCCAACATACCCAAAAAAGTGTTTACTTCAAAAAGTAAGTGTTATACCACCGCAGATGAACTCCAAGGTCGAAGATCAGTCCAACCACCTAGTAGCAACAAGACAGCTATCAGACACTCACCCGTAGGATGCACATTCCTCTTGTGATTCGACAAATACTTAAACGACCGGAACTTCTGCCCGCACAGTTCGCACTCAACCGAGTCCTCAACAGCCTCGTGCACCAATCTGACGTGCTCCCTCAGGGTCAATTTGGACTTGAAGTTCTTGTTGCACTTGGCACAGGTAAGCACCATATTTGGATTGCTGTGTTCAGTCAGCAAGTGATCCTTTAGGGTATATTTCGGCATTTCCAAAACGCAGATGGGGCACGTGACAGTGTCATACACGTTCGAGTCCAAGCTGGTCTCCACTTCGCGCATTATTTGCTGGAAGGTGCGACGTTTGGTCTTCTTGGCCGGTGGCTGGCATTCTTGTCTGTGGATGAGTAGGACCTTGCGCTCCTGGAAAGAAACAGTCAAATATCTATACGTACAAATAAAACTTAAGTGGCCGTCTGTAATATTAAAATAAGTTAATTTAATAAGTAAGAGAGATGTTGTATATGTTAGATATATAAGTAAAATAAATAAATAAAATCTATAGTTAAAATTTTGTATTTATTAGTAACTTTTTCATCCTTTTACAGTTTTTATTTTTATATTATTTTATACGAATTTTTTATTATCTAAAGAGGTGTTGTATATGTTAGATATATAAATTAAAATAAATTAAATGTATAAGTTAAAATTAATTATTTAGTATATAGTATTTAGTAGTAACTTTTTCACCCTTTTACATTTTTTATATTCTTTTTATACGAATTTTTTATTATCTAGAGAGCTGTTGTATATGTTAGATATATTAATTAAAATAAATAAATAAAATCTACAAGTTAAAATTGTTATTATTTAGTAATTGTTAGCATCCAGTAGTAACTTTTTCATCCTTTTACATTTTTTTATTTTTATAATAATTTTTATATAAATAAAAATCAGGCACACAGTATCATATATAATAATTCTTAGATTAACTTCCCATGACCCTTCTTATAGCGCAGGACCACTGTTCAATAGAGAAGATGGGCGATGCAAACCGTATACTGACACGAAATATATATAGGTATTGGTACAATATCTAAAAACCTCTTACTAGCTCGTTCCAAAACTATGTATTCAAAGATCTGATATTTGCGTACCGCCGCAATACCTATATCGCTTCGCATCGGTCGGTCGCTAGATTCGTTCCCTATATATTACACAAAATCTGATATACCGCTGCAATAAAGATTACGCCTGTGGCATCGCTTCCAAGCGGTCGCATCCAGGCAGTCCGCGCTTTCGTTCCTGTACGGTAGTGCTCTCCCGCTCTCGCATCCCCGCTGTCCCGCTCGCGCTGTACAGCGCCGACGCAGTGCTCAGTCCGCCGGCGGCATCGTTCTCGGACGGTCGCCTCCAGGTGGTCCGCGCTCCCGTACAGTACGGTAGTGCTGTCACGCTCTCACGCGCCTCCGCTGTCCTGCTCACGCGGAACAGCGTCGAGGCTGCCGGTGAGTCACTTTCACGCTACAGTTCTTGCCCCCCTGTCTTCGGGCAGGGAGGTCTGACTGACTTCCGCTTTTCATTTTCATTTTTCATTTTCACTTTTCATTTCATTTTCATTATCATTTTCATTTTTCAATTCATTTTCATTATCATTTTTTTTTGTACTGTCTCCTTTATTTTCTTGTGTTCTTGTTATTCTTGTATTACGTGTATAGTGTGTCGTAGTACGTCTCGCGATCTAGTCCCTGTTCTACCGAGAACAGGGACCCGTCCTCATCTTTACCTAGCCTAGCTTACTGACCCAAAATGGCCACACCCAGTTTCACTGAGTCCCTCGCCGCCCTCATTAACCAATTCGGTTTAAATGGCAATGAGACGGTCCTCGCCGCCATCGCCGCCCAGGCTACCCTCCCTGCCCCTCAGGCACACCTTCCGCCGCCGGTAATCGCGTCTTACCTCGAAACGAGGAACTCCTTTGCCCCCCTTGAATCTGCCCCCCTTAGAAATGGAGTACGCATGCTCCGAGTCCTCGGCGCCGACCTCCCGGAAGAGGCCCGCCACTACCTCAGGCTCCGGCTCATCGGAGTCCTCTGACTCCGACGGAACCGGGGAGTCCACTTTCACCACCGTCACCTCCAAGCGCAACGGTAAGCGCGCCGCGTTAAAACTCACTCCCCCTATTTCAGCGGCCCCTGCCGCTCCCACAACCCCCCGCAGCCCCTCGGCGCTGCCGCCGTCCCACTGATGTCACTAGACATCCCCACACCGACCAAACCAGCCTCTCGTTGTGCTCCAGTCCTTGCTAAGAAGCAAGTCCCGCCCCCTGTCTTCCTAAGAGACAAGGCAAAATTCACCCAGTTATCCAAAACCTGCTACGACGCAGGTATCAAGTATGATCATGCCGTCAACCTCGGGGAGGCGATCAAAATCATCCCAAGCTCGATCGAGGACTTCCGTCAGATCACCCGGCTATTCACAGCCGAACGAATCTCCTACCACACGTACGCTCTCCCTGAAGAGCGTAAAGTCAGGGCCGTCATCCGAGGCGTCCCATTTGAGTTCTCTTCTTGGAATTCCCAAGCCAGGCAAGCCTCTCAACCTCCCCTCCAGCCATCGCCCCATTAGCCTCCTCAAGGCAATGGGCAAGCTCTTCGAAAGAGTCATCCAAACGCGTATGAGGCGCTATCTGTTTCCCACAGACGGCGACCCTCTTATCATTCCCCATCAATTCGGTTTCCGAGCCAAACACTCATGTCCCCAACAAGTTCACCGCATTGTGGAATATATCCTCAGCGGTTTCTATCCTCGTCGTCATAAGACCATCGCGGTCTTTTTCGACATAGCTAAAGGGATAAGCGTGAACAGTCCAACCCCCCGGCCCTGCTCGACCACCTCGCGGCCACATAGGGAGTACCTGACCCTGCCAGTGAAGCCAGACGGGCATTTTTTTTTAAATTATCGGAACCACGCCCACGACCTTTTCTTTTATATAGTCATAAAAAAAATTATATATTGGTAAAAGAAAAGGTCGTGGGCGTGGTTCCGATAATTTAAAAAAAATGCCCGTCTGGCTTCACTGGCAGGGTCAGGTACTCCCCTATGTGGCCGCGAGGTGGTCGAGCAGGGCCGGGGGGTTGGACTGTTCACGGGGAGCGCCGTGGGCAGCTGGCTGTGGCGGTGGCGGCGTCGAGGGGAGGCCTAGGCCCTCTTAAGAAGGACGACCGCCACGGTTGTAGTCATAAAATTGCACCCCTTACGGGGTGCAAGACGATACGGAGGTCTCGGTGACGAGAATTAACGAAAAAACTATACGGCCACAGTGCCGGAATTATTATATTATTTTAAACTTTTTCCAAAATGGGATTAAAATTTGCAAGCGCGTACGAGGACACAAAGCAGAGCTTGTGAACGCGGCTGCAGTGGTAGTGTGCGCCTCCCAGGGCGCTCGGGCGGAGAATGACCGAGAGCGCGACGCCGTGGAATGATACCGGCCGGGTAAAACTCTGACGCGAGAGTTGCAAAGCGCATAGAGTAACGAAGCGTCAGAGTGTTTGTTCGAAATACAATATTTTAATATTTGATTTATTATTTAATTCGTTCTTTTAGTTTACTGATTTGTTTTATTAATAGGATACCTAAGTTAATTATAGAATTATTTTTGTTAGTAACTTTTATTTTATTTTTATTTAGTTTATTAAATGTTTATTTAATTTTAATAAACCGTTTAATTATAATTATGCATACATGTACGTGCAACGTTACAATACCTATATCGCTCCGCATCGGTCGGTGGCTAGATTCGCCGTGTGCGACCATGCGCGACATAGATAAATAAATATGTAGCAAGCTAGTGCGCGAGTATATGGATATTTAAACTAACGCGCTTCGTTTAAATTACTGTAAAACAACACCTGAGCCAATATTGTAACAACAAAGTATTTACATCAAATTAACATCAACCACTAATTAATTAAGTCAAAAGTGTTTTCAACACATCAAAAGATTTAACAACAAACGATTTATTTTTATGATAATTTTCAACCACAAGTTCAGTATTAAATATTGCATATAAGTTTAAATTTTACTATAGCAAATAATTGTTACAATCCTTATTTTTAGACATGTGAAACCTAAATTTTAATGAAATAAATTAAAAGAATACATGTTTACTTATATATATATTGATGTTTTAAAAAATACTTTGGAAAATTGCTTTGTAAACCGCCGTCTACTCCATTCTAAAGTCATGTTATCGAACGAAAATTTATTGGCTCTCAAGGTGTTACGTAAATATGACGCTAGATGGCATAAATACGGCTACGGTATCACAAACTAATAAGAAATGCTAGCGCTTTTGAATAGACTGGAATATGATAAATTTATTCATTATTTTGTTATGTTTATCTTTTTTATTTTAATATATTATATTAACTTTATTATATTTAATTTATTTACATTTATGTACCTACATAAATACGTTATTTATAGTCTTCGATATATATTTATAAAATAAAGCAAATTGTGCATTGTAAATTGACTTAACCGAAACCGAGTTTAAAACCTTAAAGTAATAAAGTTAAAACTACCATTAACTATATCTTCATTAGCTCCAAAATGATAACATCATATTATACATTTACTCAAATCCTATACGTCTACAATACTAATCATAGATTACTGTATATATACTAGAGAATACTAATTCGCATCGAATCGGTAATACTTAGTAGCTATGAAATCTTCTTGCCGGATTTCAACAGCGTATCGGAGTAGTAAATAGTATAAACGCGTACGCAGAATATCTAGATATTGAAATATATAGTTTTGATATCAGATATTGAAACTCGAAATCTGATATAGATACGATTCGCAGAAAACGCGATACGACCAAATAATTTATAAAACCTTACGGTTTAATACGTGCAGCTCTCGACAGTTTCCATACATTGGATTGGCAACTGTCAAAAAAGCGCCATCTAGTGGCATGAGTTGAAGAAAAAGTTATGAACTATGCGAAATTCGTTGTTTGTACGTAGTTTTTCAGAAGAATTTGAAAATTTTGTACAATTTTACAGAGCACAAGAAACAAAACGTAGTTAATAGTTTCTGAAGATTTCTTGGGGGTTTTAAAATAAAACTAAATACAGTCAAACCTGGGTTAGTGATAAACGGAAACCTGTGTAAGAGAGGGTCGTTTTTCCCTCATGGACCTCCGTAAGTGAGACTGCTACTTATTTATACCTCTATAAGCGACAGTCGAGCTTTATTTATTTATATTATTTAGGAGGAACTATAGATACGACAAAAATACATACATACATAAAAGATACACACATACAGTAATAAATGACAAAACAAATTACAAATTTAACATCTGCTATTTTATAACTCATTCTTAACTTTCGTGGAACTTCCTACCG